CACACACACATATATACTCACACACACACACACACTTTACCACAAATAAACTCACACACACAGTCACACACACATATATACTCACACACACACACACACAATATAAATATATATTATACCAAATATACAAAATTTCTGTGCGTCTCCTGGGGGCTAGGCCCCCCTTGTCCTTATAATTTAGTGATGCCCCTGTTGTACAACATTTAGTGGTTGTTTTTCATCTGAATCTGATTGTGTGAATAATATTTTTGTTTATTTTTCACAGACTATCTTGATAATGGGAACAATAAAATGGCAATACAACAGGCAGATAAACTGCTGAAGAAACATAAGGACCTACATTGTGCCAAGGTGGGTAACTACAAACTTGTTTTCACTTCAATTCAATTCTATTCAAAAATACTTTATTGATCCCAGAGGGAAATTAGGAAATTAGGAAATAGAAATTAGTAATTAGGAAATTAGGTTTTGACAGTTTTTTACTTTTTTTTTCCTGAGGCCTTAAAATCTAATTAAATGTAGTTTTTTAATAGACCTGGGCCCGTGTTTATCAAACTTCCTAGAGTGGAATTTTAGACTGAAATTTTCCTAGATTTACTTAAGTGTAAAAGCAAGTTATCAAAATTCTTAAACCTAAGAACTCTTATTCTCCCAAAAAGTTGACTGCTCCAGAGGACTCTTAAAGGACAAATGAAGGCTACTTTAGTTTGTGAAATAACTGTATAATTTGATAGTATATGTTATATGTAGTATGAATATCAATAAAATGTCTAGATATTGTAAATATGACCAAAACGTGCAATTTTCTACGAACTGCATGAAAATCAGAARATGAATTTCCTTTCAGAGTTCCTGCAGGAGGCAGAGCCTGTGTGACGTCACAGTTGTTGAATTACACTTGCTCCTCATAATGATWACCTGTAGAAGCAGCTTTTGTTTTTAAAGATTTACATARTTTTGTGAACTTGAAATGGAATATTTTGTGGCATTTGGATTTACAAGTGATGCAGGGTCAGCTGCCAGCTTTTTAAAAAATTTTCTTAAAGGCGACCTATTATGGGGGTCCTGGCACAAGTTAGGATCCATCTGTGGGCTACACAAAACATGTTCATTTGATTTAACTCACAAAAACAATCTCAAATAATGAAATTTCACCTTTTTAGTTCTGCCTGTTCTTCAGCTCTCTCCACCTCGCGCTGTATGCAGAACTTGCTAAGGAAACCCCCTCCCAACCGTTTGTTTATGTTAACTCCGCCCTCCCGACATGGTAGAAGCATTCAAAGTGAAATTTTTATTCACAAACTACAGCTTTCTTTGGCAATATTGTTAGAACATTGTCATCAAAAATAAAAATAAAATTAATCCAGGCATCTCTGTTCTCCATGGCTGCTGTAAAAACAGCAGAACTGTAGTCTGAAGAAGTGGGCGGAGCTTCACCTTGGGTTGCCAGGTRAGGAGCTGGAGTCTGGTTTAGGTTGCTTAGGTGACTGTTATTGTGACATCAGAATAACATGCTTTGAGAAAGACCATGTTTCCAGATACCTAAAAATGCATGTAATTACAGCTAAAAACGGCTGGGTGCATTTTTTTTGGTGTTTGGACTGCTTCTCTAAGCAGCAGAGACCCAAAAATAAGTTTAAAAACATGAAAAAAGTGAGTTTTGCATAATAGGTGCCCTTTAAGATCCATGAGGGCAGAAGGTTTGGGTTGATGCGATGTGGAGAAAAGACTGGAAAGCAATGCAGACCATTTAAAGACTCAACAAGCAGGGTCACAAGACTTTGCCTTTTCAGTGCCTCACAGTTTGAGTAGATCCATTAGTTTTGTGACCAATAGGCTCAATTTGATGGATGATGCCACGCCAACAATATTTAATTGTGCTGGATTATAAACAGCACAGCAGCCAGGGGAGAACCCACTACAGCAGTCATAAGTTGACCCACAAAATATTCCTGGCAAAAACTTGTGACCCCAAATATTACTGGTCTGAGTACACAAACTTTAATAACCCTAAAAACAAAGGCTACACAAATATAAATACTTATTTATACTTGTGTTTTTGTAATAATTATAGGGAAAATATTACATCACCAATTATTTTATTACCCTTTAAATTGATTTCTGAAGAGCAGTGGTTTCAAAACTTTTCAGCTTTTGACCCAAGAGACAGCAGTAGCAGAGACCTGTGCCCACAACTATTTTTGGATGATAAACATTTGTCAAGTCATCTAAACGTGGGCATAGTAACAATATTTATTATTCTACATTTATACATTTTAGGCAACTATGGCAAAAATGTAATTAATTTAGAAAATCTTTTCAGGACCCCACCTTGGTATTTACCCCAAGTTTGGGAAACGCTGATTTAGAGTACGCATAGTTGGGTTCTGTCAGACATTCTCAGCAGATTGTAACTGTACACATACAACTGTATTTTTCTGTGTTCCTTTACCCCCACATTTAGGTCTTAAAAGCTATTGGCCTTCAAAGGACGGGAAAGCAGGACGAAGCTTTTATTTTGGCGCAGGAGGTGGCCACTCTAGAACCCACTGATGACAACTCACTTCAAGCTTTGACAATACTGTATAGAGAGATGCATCGTCGTAAGTATAGTACACTGACAACGAGAAAGCAGGTGTTATTAGGCAGCAGGGACGGAGTTAAATGTTGCTCCTATTCTTTTGCAGCGGAGTTGGTCACTAAGCTGTATGAGGCTGCAGTACGGAAAGTTCCTCTCAGTGAGGAGTATCACTCTCACCTATTTATGGCTTATGCTCGCGTGGGAGAGTACAAAAAGATGCAACAGGTGTGAGAACTAATGATTAACATAAGTTTTATGCATTTTGTATTTATATATTTGTATATAATTAGAATTATAATTAATTATTAGATAAATAAGCAAACAAACAGGCTGTTTGATCATTTTTTTTCTTTACATCTTACAGGCAGGAATGGCCTTGTATAAAATCGTTCCAAAAAATCCCTATTACTTCTGGTCTGTCATGAGTCTTGTGATGCAGGTATGATGAAATGTTAATAATTTTCTAAAATATTGCAATTACCTAAAAAAGCAAATATAAATGCCATTTTTATTTTATAAAGGCAATATCAGCCAAAGATGAAAAACTGGCTCAAACCATGTTTCTTCCCTTGGCTGAACGCATGGTAGAAAAGATGGTGAAGGAGGAGAAGATTGAAGCGGAAGCTGAGGTGAGCTCATCTATATAGTGTCTTTTTATATTAGTAATAGCCAACAAATGAATAAATTTTGGGTTTAAAAAAACTAACAAACATCTGGTACACTTTCATAGAGTTAAAAGCCCTTAAAGAGATAAAATTGGTGTCCGCGGGTCCTTAAAAAGTCTTAAATTTACATATCTAAAATTAATACCTTAAAAAGTCTTAAATTTGTTGAAAAATGTGCAAGTTGGTCTTAAATTTGTTACTCAGAGGTCTTAAGTTTTGTCGGGCAGAAGCGATTAAAGTTCTCCGTCTCCCCCGGCCGTCTCTGCAGTGCATTTCCTATTGAGAAAAAACAACCAAACTTGTGTTGTGATGGATTAACTGACACTGCTTTCAACCAGTAAAAATAAGATAAGATAAGAGACCTTTATTGTCATTGTACAGAGCACTATGAAATTACAGTTCAGAACACTCATTCAGAAGAAGACAGAACAAACATAAGAGAACAGGTGCCCTGGGTCATGCTGCCACAGACCCTGCACAGAGCAAGGATCATCTTCATGAAGAAGGCACAACCCTTAACAGAAAAACTAAAAGCCACACAAGGGAAGATGAGGGAAAAAAAACAAAACATCATATATCAACAATGTGACACACTATGGCGTTTATTAAAAAAAAACCCTCTGCGTAGAGCACATTTATTAGCCAGAGGAGTAAGTTAGTTTAGGGGGGCTTGTATTTGAAGCCATGAATGTTGTATGCACTTGTGTGAAYATCTGAAGAATGAGCCCGAAAAATCGAGTCCCCAAAACCAGTGCAGCCACAGTCCAGAATATGGATGTTAACTGTTCATTCTGTGCGGCCTTCAGCCTTCTCCAGGAACCAGATAACAGACGGCTGGGTGGGGGGCAGGCAGTTTGAACCTATTGATTTGAACCTAATTTTTGAAGCTGTTCTGTAAATAACATTCAAACAAACAATACATATAGGAACTTCTGATCAAGCCATATCATTTTCAGACTTAAAACAATGTACCAATTTAAGCCCCGTCAACTTCTGGTTAAACCACACCTACATCTGGTTTAGGCCCCGCCCACACTGAGTGCAGATACAGAAACATAATTTAGATGGTTGAACAGATACAGTGGGGAAAATAAGTATTTAGTCAGTCACCAATTGTGCAAGTTCTCCCACTTAAAAAGATGAGAGAGGCCTGTAATTGACATCATAGGTAG